TGGCCCAAGTGCTTGGGCCCCTGCACCTGTGTGGGAGACCTGGAAAAAGCTCCAGACTCCTGGGTTCAGATTGGCCCAGCTCTGGCCATTGCAGCCATTTGGGGAATGAACCAGCAGATGGAAGACCTTTGTCTGCCTCTGCCTCTCTGTAACTCTGCCATAGGAAGGAATAAAGGAAGGAAGGGAGGGAAGAAGGAAGGGGGGGAAAGGGGGAGGGAGGGAGAGAGGGAAGAAGGGAGGGAGGGAAAAACAAAGCAAAGCAAAGAAAGGGTTAGTCATGTGGTCTAAGCCCATCTATAAAACAGAACTCAAAAGAGTACATCTCTCAGGAATTTAGTGTGCATAAGAAACAAGGATGGGCCGGCGCCACGGCTCACTAGGCTAATTCTCCGCCTTGCGGCGCCGGCACACCGGGTTCTAGTCCCGGTCGGGGTGCCGGATTCTGTCCCGGTTGCCCCTCTTCCAGGCCAGCCCTCTGCTGTGGCCAGGGAGTGCAGTGGAGGATGGCCCAAGTGCTTGGGCCCTGCACCCCATGGGAGGCCAGGAAAAGCACCTGGCTCCTGGCTCCTGCCATCGGATTGGCGTGGTGCGCCGGCCGCAGCGCGCCAGCCGCGGCGGCCATTGGAGGGTGAACCAACGGCAAAGGAAGACCTTTCTCTCTGTCTCTCTCTCACTGTCCACTCTGCCTGTCAAAAAAAAAAAAAAAAAAAAAGAAAGAAAGAAACAAGGATGTTTGTAAAACAGGACTTTGTTAGCAAGGGCCTGGCTCAGGTGAGTGTCTAATACACAGTAATGTTTACTGTCACTGCTATTATCAGTTGAGTCTCAAGGGTAACTGCAGTTTCTGGCCTGGGCAGCAGTGTAAATGCTGGCGCTGTGTTTGGAAATGAGGAATGCAGGGTGGTGATCTGAGATGGCCACTAGAACTCTGCTCATCCGCCTTATCTTCCACCACAGGCTTTCAAATCCTGAGACCTTCTAACCCAAAGGTTTTTAACCTGGGAATTTAGGAAGTACCCAAAGCCCTGAAATTATGTCTAAAATGCCATGGTGACCTTCGTTTCTAAGAAGGGCCAAAGCTTTTTAACAATAGATTTGTGACCCCAAAAAGGTGAAAACCATAGATCCAAGCTATTCTACCATGGCCTCATGGCTGTCCCAACACCTGATCCCCTGCTTGGGTTGAGTGTGTAAGTCACAAAGAAAGAGAAACTCATGGGGCAGGTGCCCGTGCTGTAGCAGGTAAAGCCGCCGTCTGCTGTGCCGGCATCCCATATGGGCACCGGTTCAAGTTCCAGGCTCCCAGCTTTGGTCTGGCCCAGTCCTGGCTGTTGTGTGCATTTGAAGAGCAAACCAGTGGATGAAGATCTCTATCTTTGACTCTTTCTGCCTCTCTCTTTTCTTTCTGCCTTTCTTTTTTACTTTAATACTTATTTGAAAGGAAGAGTTACATGGGAAGGGGGAGAGATGGATAGGGAGAGAGACAGGGAGAGAGGGAGAGGAAGAAGAGAGACAGATCACTCCCCAAATGGCCATCCAGGTCTCTCACATGGGTGCAGGGGCCCAAGCACTTGGGCCATCTTCTGCTGCTTTCCCAGGCACACTGGCAGGGAGCATGATCAGAAGTCAAACAGCCGGGACTCAAACTAATACTAATATGTGATGCCAGCAGCACAGGCAGCTCAACCTGCTGTGCCATAATGCCAGCCCCTCCCTCTGCCTTTCCAACAAAATGAAAATAAATTATTTTTAAAAAGAATAAAATATTAATACAAAAAAATGAACCACAAAAACATTATGCTAAATGAAAGAAGTCATACATAAAAGACCATGTACCATTCCAGTTATAGGTACAGGAATTTCTCAAGGTCAGACATTTGAAGATTCACCAGACTCCACAAGATATAATCATCTAATATTTTTAAGGATGAAGGACACGGAGCAGCAAGAAAAAGCACCAGAAATCTTAGACATCCTATGTACAAGCTACCCAAATTCCTACTCACTCATGGACCACACTGTGATTCAAATCAGTGCCCATGCAGTGAATTGAATCACTATGATCTTGGGGCTGGCGCTGTGACACAGCAGGTTGACCAACCGCCTGCAATGCTGGCATCCCATTTGAGTGCCAGTTTGAGTCCCGGCTGCTTCACTTCTGATCCAGCTCCCTGCTAATGTGCCTGAGAAAGCAGCTGAAAAGAGGGACCAAGGGCTTGGGCCCCTGCCACCCATGTGGGAGACCTTCATGCAGTTCCAGGCTCCTGGCTTCAGCCTGGCTCAGCACCAGCTCTTGGGGCCATTTGGGGAGTTAAAGTAGCAGATAGAAGCTCTCCTTCTCTCTAAAACTCTGCCTTTAAAATAAATAAATCTTTAAAAAGGAATAAAATAAAAATAAAACACTATGGATCTTTGCGAGAGATCCCGGCTTTGGGAAAGCTCAAATCAGAAATCCCAGCAGAGATTTTATGCTACCTAGCCACATAATCAAGCTGGCTTTTTTAACTGGTTAGATCAGTTACAGTTTTTTTTAAGGTCTATTTATTTGAAATGGACAGAGAAAGATAGTCCAGGTGCTCATATGGGATGCCAGCATCATAGGTGATGGCTTAACTGCTGCTTAACACAGGCCCCCCAGTTCCAAATTCTGGGGCTAGTGCTATGGCATAGTAGGCTAAGCCTCCGCCTACAGTGCCAGCATCCCACATAGGCGCTGGTTTGTGTCCCAGCTGTTCCTCTTCCAATCCAGCTCTCTGCCTTGTGGCCTGGGAAAGCAGTGGAAGATGGCCTAAGTGCTTGGGTCCCTGTACCCTCGTGGGAGACCCAGAAGAAGCTCCTGGTTCCTGTTCAGCTTAGCCCTGGCCATTGCAGCCATTTGTGGAATGAACCAATGGATGGAAGACCTTTCTCTTTTTCTCTGTCTGTAACTACCTCTCAAATAAATAAATTAAATCTTAAAAAAAAAAAAAGAAATCCATCCTGGGGGTCACCAGGGAAGCTTCAGAGTTCAAACAGCGCAGTATAAATCCCATTGCCATTATGCTGGGCAAGCATGAAAAACCAAACATCTGGGTGTCCTCAGAGACAGTTTTTGCAATCCAACTATAAATCAGTTTAGTGATTACCTGAAAGGCACTGAGTGCAAAAGAGCTCAAGAAAATGTTTCCGCAGACAGAATTATTTTCTGGGGGAAGCACTGTGGCACAACAGGTTAAGCAACTACCTGCACCGTAGTGGCTGAGTGCTTGGGCCCTTGTCACCCACATGGGAGACCCAAATAGAGTTCCAGGCTCCTGGCTTTGGCCTGACCCAATCTAAGCTGTTGTGGCCATTTGGAGAGTGAACCAGTGGATGGAAGATCTCTCTCTCTCTCTCTGTATGGCTCTACCTTTCAAATAAATAAACAAATCTTAAAAAATTTTCTATATCTTGATGGTGATGGTGGCCATATTATTATATACAATGAATATAACTTATTAAACAGCACATTTAAAATGGATGTATATTGTATTTGAACAATAATAAAAAATAGTTTCTTTCAAAAGGGATGCTATGCTACATTTATTCTTTTGGAATTAAATGTTTCATAGGGGTCAGCACTGTGGCACAGCAGGTAAAGCTGCTGCCTGCAGTGCTGGTATCACATATGAGCACTGGTTCAAGTCCCAGCCACTCCACTTCTGATCCAGCTCTCTGCTATGGCCTGGGAAAGCAGCGCAAGATGGCCCAAGTGCCTGGCTCTTGCACCTGTATGGGAGACCCAGAAGAAACTCCTGGCTTCTGATTTCAGATCAGCACAGCTCTGGACATTGTGACCATCTGGGGAATGAACCAGCAGATGGAAGCCCTCTCTCTCTGCCACTGCCTCTCTGTAACTCTGCTTTTCAAATAAATAAATAATAAAAGTTTCATATTTTGTTGCTAAGATTCATCCTTATGATGTATCATAATACCTCATTTGTTTCTGATAATTGCATAATATTCCACTGGGTGACTATTCTAATATATTTGTCCATCCTCTTGCTCAGGGGCATTTGGGTTGTTCCCAGGCTTTTGCTTGTGTAGACAGGGCTGCTATGAACATTCTTGCATGTTTCCTGACATATACATATACATATACATATACATATACATATACATATACATATACATAAATCTAGGATTTATCCCTAGTATTGAAATAACTGAGTTGTAGGGCAGGTAAATGTTCAATAGGAAAGAAACTGTTTTTAAAAGTAGTTTTGGGGACAGTATTGTGGCATAGCAAGCTAAACTGCTGCCCATGATGCAAGCATCCCATATGGTTCAAGTCCTGGCTGCTCCAATTCTGATCCAGCTCCCCACTAATGCACCTGGGAAAGCAGTAGAAGATGGCCCAGTATTTGGGTCCCTGCACCCACATGTAAGACCTGTTTGAAGCTCCTGGCTCCAGCCCAGCCCAGGCTGTTGTAGCCATTGAGAATGAACCAGCAAATGGAAGTTCTTTCTCTCTCTGTAACTCCTTCAAATAAATAAATAAATAGTTCTCTGCTTAGCTTACCTGAGTCTGTCTGTCCCCAGTTCTACTGTGACCCAGGGGCAAGACAGCCTCTCCTCTTGATATATCATTGCTTTATCACTCAATTAATCCCCTCAGCCTCAGCAAATATAAGCACAGAGTGAACAGCTGGCAGGGACCACAGGTCAGGCATGGAGGCTGGTTGGGGTCCTACTCAGAGCATCTGCGGAGCTCCCTGGAGCGCCACCTCCCTATCTTCACTTCACTTTGAGTCTAAAAGGTTTTCTAGGGCCCTCAGTTACAATGTAAATCCCAAGAAAGGAAAAAGCTTAACCTATGTTAAAAGTCCTTCTCAACTGATTAGCAGGAAAGGCATAAAGAACAAGAGCAAAAAGAGGGTTAACAGAAGTGGGAAGAGACAAGAAACAAGGTCCCATGTATTCTAAAGTTACGCACCTTTTCTTCAGTTTTTCAGAAAAAAAAATTTTAACAAAAAAATATCTGTAGGTGACCATAAGCAATTTTTAATATCCCTGCCACTAAAGGTTAATTTCTTTTGGCTAGTGGTACAAAAACAACACAGACAACATGCAGTTATGAAGTGATATAATATTGCCCCACATGCATACTCTGTGGGGCACAGCTCTTAGAGGAGGGGCCAAGGACAGGCACCAGAGCTCGGCTGCAGACTAGAAATAAGAATAAAAATCGCAGACTTGGGGCTGACATTGTGGTGCAGCAGGTAGGGCTACTGTCTGTGACACTGGCATGCCATATGGGCACTGGTTCAAGTCCTGGCTGCTCTGGGCTTCTGATCCAGCTCCCTGCAAATGGCCTGGAAAAGCAGCAGAAGATGGTCCAAGTGCTTGGTCCCCTGCCATCCATGGAGAGGCTCCGATGAAGTTCCTGATTCCTGGCTTCGACCAGTCTCAGTTCAGCTGTTGTAGCCACTGGAGAAGTGAACCAGCGAAGTGAAGATTGCTCTCTGTCTCTCCCTCTCTGTATATAACTCTGAGTTTCTACTAAATAAATAAATCTTTTATTAAAAAAAAAACCAGACTGCTGCCTACATGGAAGACCAGATGAAGCACCTGGTTCCTGACTTCAGCCTGGCCCAGTCCGGCTGTTGTGGTCATTTGGGGAATGAACCAGTGGACAGAAGCCCTGTCTCAGTGTCTCTCCCTCTCTGAAACTCTGCCTTTCAAATATAAATTTCGGTAAATATTTCAATAAATAAATCTTTAAAAGAAGTGAAAACTTCTCTCAGGAAGCAGATGAGAGTCCCATTCTGAAAAATGAGGGAGTCTGATTATCTCCCACGATCCCAACCACTTCATCTCTACTACCTCCCCAACCACCTGTCCTACAGGAGCTTGCCAAACAATTGCTAGATGAATGAACAAAGGAAAACACATGACATGTATGACATGCCTGTGGCAAAAGCAAGCCTCCTAGCCACATTTAGGTGGCACTGCTGTTGACAGCAGGAGGAGTGGCCAGAATTTTCCAGCTCAGGAAAGTTTTCTCACATGGGTAAGGAGGCAGATTATGATGCACCGGCTTAACACTGTTTGTTGCTTGTTCCTTAAATTAGACCACGGGTCACAGGGAGAAACTGGGTAGGTTTCGGCCTGTTGACTGCTCAGGACTGATTTGGCAGAACTCCAGTTCAAGTGTGACAGGGGCCTGTAATCCGAGGCCTGCACCCCGGCTGAGGCCCTGGGCTGAAGCCTGGAATGAACAAATGGTACTTAGACTGACATGAAGCCCCACTGCAGCCCCAGCTCTGTAGAACTTCAACAATTTTATTGACTTAATGCTTCTTCCCAAGTTTACAGCTTAAAGTATGGGCTTGCTCACTGGCTCCTCATTCTAGGCCCCTCAAAGGGCAGGAACTTTTAGCACAGGTCTGGAGATGGGAGTTAATAAGTAAGTTGGAAACCTGCTGGTGCTCCACAATTGGACAGCAGCACAGAAAAACTCCTACTTCCTACTACTGAACACTATCTGCCGAAAGACTCAAATAGGATCGAGACACGAGTGCAGCTCTGCCACTGCTCCTGGCTTCCAATGCCTCCAGCAGGGTACACTCTGTCTATTTCAGGTACAGGATGACGCTATGTCAGTCTACGCATTTTGCAGAAGTACATAGGCCCAAAATTGGCCATAAGGTTTGGTATTACAAGCTCCCCAACCCGGCAGGATGGGAAGAAACAGAAAGTGTCCATGAAGCGCTTTCGGAAGTGGGTCAGGTCTTCCACCTGAACCTCGATGCTGTATTGATTGGCCAGGAGCTCCATGGTCCCTTGCACCACATACTCATTCTGTAAGTGTGAGAGTGAGCAGGTGGAATAGACCACATGGCCTCCTGGTTTAGTGGCAAGGAGTCCAGCCCTGAAAACAAAAAGGGAGAAAACCAATGACTGGTGAACTTCCCCACAGTGGATGAGAAACGTAAGTTGAAAACACTGATAGACAGAGTCTACTATGAGATGAGGAACTGGGATAGACTGCCTTGAAGTCCCTCCCACTATGATACTGCCTGGAAAGTATTCTTAAGGCAGAGACCAATCCAAACTTACTCCTTGGGCTCTCCTCCAGAAGCCTTCTTAAAACGATCCTTTGGCTGGCGCTGTGGCTCACTAGGCTAATCCTCTGCCTGCGGTGCCAGCACCCCAGGTTCTAGTCCCAGTTGCTCCTCTTCAGTCCAGCTCTCTGCTGTGGCCCAGGAGGGCAGTGGAGGATGACCCAGGTGCTTGGGCCCCTGCACCCGCATGGGAGACCAGGAGGAAGTGCCTGGCTCCTGGCTTCAGATCGGTGCAGCACGCCGGCCGTAGTGGCCATTTGAAGGGTGAACCAACGGAAGGAAGACTTTTCTCTCTGTCTCTCTCTCTCTCACTGTCTAACTCTGCCTGTCAAAAAAAAACACCCTTGACCCCTGACTTTAGTTACAGACTAAATCCTGATGCTTGCTATAGTCTGAGCCCTTACCTCGGCCCTAATGCCTTGACCTCAGTAGCTGTTTTTCAAATACTTGCTGCTCACTGGTAATGAGGATGAAATAGGAGGGGCAGGTCTGTGCAGCCCACCCTGGTATGTCTGTCCTACCAGATGAGATTCTTATGTGCCAGAGAAGGACCATCCCACGATGTCTCTCTCTTCCAGATCCCCAGCCAGAAGACTCCTCTATAGGCGACAGTGTTAACAAGAGCTTCCAATCCCCTAGTCTCCCAGGCGATCAGATTCCTAGAGCACTCTAGCACAAAGTTCTGTTTTTATAAATTTATCACTCACGCAAGAAGCTGCATCTGCAGCATGGGCAACATCTGCCGTTCCTTCTTCCTTGACCGCTGAAAGATGTTGTTCTCCTCTTCATGAAGGGAGTGGCGGTCGGTGGTACAGGGCACATCTACCAGCACCTGCCCAGAATGTCAAAGGGTAAAGCATTAAACCTCCTTACAGACTGCTCTTCCTCGGGGCAGTGCTGTTTGAGGCCTCTGGCCTGGAAGGTTTGGTGGACTACTCTGCCAATCCTTCCACTGCAGGGCACCTGACACAGCTTCTCATCCTGGCAGACCCCTAGGAAATAATGAGGAGGAAGGTAATACTCAGGAATATTCATGGTTGGCCAAAAAGCGAAAGCCACACATAAATAACCATAACTGTAGCAGGTTAAGCTGCCACCTGTAGCGTCAGCAACCCATATGGGCACCAGTTTGAGTCCAGGCTGCTCTACTTCTGATCCAGCTCCCTGCTAACGTGCCTGGGGAAGGAAAGCAGTGGAAAATGGCCCAAGTGCATGAGTCTCTGCACCCATGTGGGAAACCTGGAAGAAGCTCCTGGCTCCTGGTTTCAGTCTGGTACAGTTTGGGCCATTGTGGCCATTTAGAGAGTGAACCAGCAGATAGAAGATCTCTCTCTCTCTCTCTCTCTCTCTCTCTCTCTGTAACTCTTTTAAATAAAACAAATAAATCTTTTTAAAAAATTGGCATTGCCGGCGCCGCGGCTCACTAGGCTAATCCTCCGCCTAGCGGCGCCGGCACACCGGGTTCTAGTCCCGGTCGGGGCGCCGGATTCTGTCCCGGTTGCCCCTCTTCCAGGCCAGCTCTCTGCTGTGGCCAGGGAGTGCAGTGGAGGATGGCCCAGGTGCTTGGGCCCTGCACTCCATGGGAGAAGCACCTGGCTCCTGGCTCCTGCCATCGGATCAGCGCGGTGCGCCGGCCGCAGCGCGCCGGCCGCGGCGGCCATTGGAGGGTGAACCAACGGCAAAGGAAGACCTTTCTCTCTGTCTCTCTCTCTCACTGTCCACTCTGCCTGTCAAAAAATAAAAAAATAAAAAAATAAAAAATTGGCATCAACCTAAGAAGAAGTCTTTAGTGCTTCAGGGCTCTGTCTCTAGCTGTTTGAATGCAAGCATCCAATTCACAGGTGTTACAATGCCAAGAGGAAGCTGGTATACTGAATAACATCAGCAAGCTTCAAAATAATCTTAAAACAGTGTCAGATCCAATGTGGGAATATTTTAAAGTGAGAAATGTAGTCATTGATTCACTTACTAACAGTCTACTCTATGCTGGGTATTAAGAGACAGACAGACAAAAAATTTTAAAAACAGTCCTATATTTATGTTTCAAAACAGAAAAATCATGTTTGGAAAAGATCTGTGACTTTTTAGTTAAGCATAAACTCCAAGTAAATTAATAATGACCTGATGTTTGATATTCTCATGTATTCCTAGGCTACATGAGTTGACATAGTGCATATGGAGTAAGAAAATTAATGAACACTTTGTATCTGAGTTAGGTCATATCTGGAGAACCAGGATGAGGCTGGCCTTAAAAGAGAAAAAAAAAAAAAAAACACATTAACTAAATGTGTCTCTACCTCTCTCTCTGTAACTCTGCCTTTCAAATAAATAAAATAAATCCTTTAAAAAATTAAAAAATAAAAGAAGTAGGCAGGAGTCAGCACTGTAGCATAGCAGGTAAGGCTGCCGCCTGCAGTGCCAGCATCCCATATGGGTGCTATTTCAAGACCTGATCCAGTTCTCTGCTGTGACCTGGGAAAGCTGCTTGGGCCCCTGCACCAGTGTGAGGGACCCAGAAGAAGCTCCTGGCTCCTGCCTTCAGATCAGCCAAGCTCTAGCTGTTGCAGCCATTTGAGGAGTGAACCAGCAGATGGAAGTACTCTCTCTCTGCCTCTCTGTAACTCTGCCTTTCAAATAAATAAATAAATCTTAAACAAATAAATAAATGAACTAGGCAGTTGTCACAAGCTGACAATAAAATCTTATCTTTTTACTTCTGGTAAAAGCAGAATAGCTTGTTGCAGACCAACCTCCTACTGAGAACAACTAGAAACATTTGAAAAAAAAAAAAAAAATACGTGTTTACAATATCCGATGTATGGAGCTAACATCTTAGCGATAAAATGTACATCCAGGGGCCGGCACTGTGGCACAATGGGTAAAGCCGCCGCCTACAGTGCCAAGTCCTGGCTGCTCCACTTCCAATCCAGCTCTCTGCTATGGTCTGGGAAAGCAGACCTCTCTCTCTCTCTCTCTCTCTGTCTGTCTCTCCTTCTCTGTGTGTAACTCTGAATTTCAAATAAGTTTTCAAAAAAAAAAAAAATGCACATCCAGGGTAGGCATTATGACACAGCAGGTTAAGCCATCACTGGGACACCTGCATCTCTTATCACAGTGACTGCTTGGTCTCAGCTACTCTGTGCTTCAAAATCCAGCTTCCTGCTAATCTGCCTAGGAGGCAGTAGATGACGGCCCAAGTACCTGGGTTCCTGCCACTCATGTGGGACAGCCAGATGGAGTTCCTAGCTCCTGGCTGAAGCCTAGCCCAGCCTCAGCTGTTATAGGCATTCGGGAAGTGAACCAGTAGATGGAAGACCTCTCTCTCTCTCCCTCTCTCTCTCTCTCTCTTTCTCTCTCTGCCTCTCTGTAACTATGTGTCTCAAATAAATAAATAAATCTTTAAAAAGCCTTCCTAAATAACAAAAGAAATTAAAAGAAAAACAAAGAGCCAAGAACAGATACCACATAGTAAAAGGAGCACAATAAGTAAACACAGTAAAACACCTTAACAGAGCTGAATCCCAGTGTTTCAGTGGCATCAATTAAATCAGCAATTAAAGAAATAAAATTTATAAATAAGCTCAGAGAGAAACCCAAGTCTATGCAATATGCAAAAGATTATCTAAGAGGAAGTGATTCAACAAAGCTAAGTATAAAGAGATAAGCAAAAGTGTAACTGCAGGCTAATCCTCCACCTTGCGGCGCCGGCACACCGGGTTCTAGTCCCGGTCGGGGCGCCGGATTCTGTCCCGGTTGCCCCTCTTCCAGGCCAGCTCTCTGCTATGGCCAGGGAGTGCAGTGGAGGATGGCCCAGGTGCTTGGGCCCTGCACCCCATGGGAGACCAGGAAAAGCACCTGGATCCTGGCTCCTGCCATCGGATCAGCGCGGTGCGCCGGCTGCAGCGGCGGCCATTGGAGGGTGAACCAACGGCAAAAGGAAGACCTTTCTCTCTCTGTCTCTCTCTCTCACTGTCCACTCTGCCTGTCAAAAATTAAAAAAAAAAAAAAAAAAAAAAAAAAAGTGTAACTGCAATACATAAAAAGAGAAAGCTGTGGGAGTTTCCACAACCCAAAAAGGAGAAAATGTCTACTGATTCTTTCCCCACTCCTCAGTGTCATCAGGAGATGGCTGGAATTTTTGGAAAATGGTTGCAAAGTTACCTAGCACTATTGGATTCCTAAGCCCTGGCACATGGAACAGCAGAGCTATGCGATTCCAAAGAGACTATAAATCACAGCAACATATGTGAATATCTTGGTTCTAATAGATTTTTGATTCTGCTTCAACAGTGTCAATTTTGAAAAATGTTGATCCCAGTCACAGGAGAAAGGAAAAGACAAACTGTTTCACTACACTTAGGAAAAGGCAGGGCAAACTATTCAACATCAAATATAGCACACGTATTTCTACACTGGCAAGGGCCCTGCTCAATACTCATGGTTATCAACCATAAATAACTAGCCCTGCCAGGATGGTGCTCCAGCCCGATCTTAGCTTTGGGCATGTGTCTTGAACACATATGATTTCCTCTATTACATGGAAAGACAGAAATGTGTTCAAATACATATTTATTCTTTGAAATAAACCTTTAACTCTAAAAAAGAAGAGCAGAGCAGAACAGAGCAGAGCAGAGAAGAGAAGAGAAAAATAGGAAAACAGGTGTCAGGGGGCAGTGCTGGCTATGAACGTGTGCTCTGGGGTCTTGTCCTTTCTCCAGTTAATGGACATACAGAGCTGGGGGAAGGACTTACCAAGAGCATCTGGAGCCCTGAGGTAGCTTTCTTCTTTGTTCTGAAAGTGCTTAACACTTGGCTATCACACATTGGCGTTTTTATGTGATTTCTTCAACAAATAAATTAACATTTTCAAGACATCAAAGTTGTTTTGAAATGTGTGAAACACTGCCAAATGAAATGAGAGGTAGTTCATTCTATATTGTTCTAAAAGGCATGATAGGGTCAATAAATGGAAATAATAATAAAAACGGTAAGACTTATTGGTAATTTTGGTGCTTGCTCTATTCCAAGCACTATGCTAAACACATACAAAAAATGTTTTGAGACACAGAGGGACAGAGGGAGTGCTCCGACACATTGGTTCACTCCACAAATGTCCCATGATGTTTGGGGCCAAAGCTAGGAGCTGGGAACTCAATCTAAGTCTTCTTTGTGAGTGGCAGGGACCTAATTACTTGAGACATCACTGCTATTTCAAGAGTCAGGAGCCAAAGCTAAGTATCCAATCCAAGTATCCCAAAATGGGATAAATGGGATGTAAGAATCTTAACTAGCATCTTAACTGTTATCCTAAAAGCTCACCCTTAAATGCACTTTTTTTTTTTTTTTTGACAGGCAGAGTGGACAGTGAGAGAGAGAGAGAGACAGAGAGAAAGGTCTTCCTTTGCAGTTGGTTCACCCTCCAACAGCCGGCGCGGCTGGCACACTGCAGCCAGCGCACTGCACTGATCTGAAGGCAGGAGCTAGGTGCTTCTCCTGGTCTCCCATGGGGTGCAGGGCCCAAGCACTTGGGCCATCCTCCACTGTACTCCCGGGCCACAGCAGAGAGCTGGCCTGGAAGAGGGGCAACTGGGACAGAATCCAGCACCCTGACCGGGACTAGAACCTGGTGTGCCGGTGCCGCAAGGCGGAGGATTAGCCTATTGAGCCATGGTGCCGGCTCTTAAATGCATTCTTATTTAAACTTCACCTATAGGATAGGCATTACTATTGAACTCACTATACAGATAATGCTGAAGCTTAACTGTAAAGTTTTTTTTTTTTTTTAAGATTTATTTTATTTATTTGAGAGACAGTTACAGAGAGAGGTAGAGACAGAGAGAGAGTGAGAGATCTTCCATCTGCTGGTTCATTCCTCAAGTGCTGTAACAGCTGGAGCTGAGCCAACCTGAAGCCAGGAGCTGGGAGTTTCTGCCAGGCCTCCCATTTGGGTGCAGGGGACAAGGACTTGGGCCACCTTCTAATGTATTCCCAGGCACATTAGAAGGGAGCTGGATCAGAAGCAGAGCAGCCAGGACTTGAACCGGTGACCACAGGGGATGCCGGCACTGCAGGCCAGGGCTTTAACCCACTGCACAACAGCACCAGCCCTGCTTAACTGAAAAGTTTTAAGTAACTCAGCAAACTTCTCTGGCTGGTAAGTAATGGATTTCAGTCCAAGCAGACTGACCACAGAATCGCTATACTCACTCGTGCCATGCAATCTACAGATTTTAACTCAATAAGAGGAGGAACTTTTTAACAACAGAGGTGTTAAACAACAGAACCTCAGTAAGTCTCTGTCAATGGAAGTGAGCAAGCACAGGCTGAATGACGGTGGCTACCACCTGCCGAATCTCCACAGCCAAATCTCCACTGTACGAAGTACTTTCCCTGGATATTCCCTCATCCTCACAGTAATCCTACATGGTGGGATTACCCTAGCTCACATGTTGAGAGACTAAGCAGCTTGCCTAAGATTGGTAAGTGGCAGAATAAAGAAATCTGTTAGGCTGACAGCAGAGCTCTCTGCATTCTCTTCCGCCGCCTTCAAGTCCAGAAAGATAAACGGGATTCCTAACTACATAGGCAGGAAGGTCTTCCAAGCCAATCCAAGATACTATAACCCTGGGGCCAGCATTGTGGCACAGCAGGTAAAGCTGCCACCTGCAGTGCTGGCATCCCATATGGGCACCAGTTTGAGTCCTGCCTGCTCCACTTCCGATCCAGCTCTCTGCTATGGCCTGGGAAAGCAGTAGAAGATGGCCCAAGTCCTTGGGCCCCTGCACCCATGTGGGAGACCTGGAAGAAGTTCCTGGCTCCTGGCTTCGGATCAGCACAGCTCTGGCCATTGTGGCCAACTGGGGAGTGAACCAGTGGATGGAAGACCTCTCTCTCTATCTCTTCTTCTCTGTGTAACTCTTTCAAATAAATAAATAAATCTTCAACAAAAAGATATGGGGGCAGATGTTTAGCCTAGCAGTTAAGATAACTGCCTCTGCCATATCAGAGAAGCTAGGTTTAATTCTCAGCACTGGCTCCTGACTCCAGCTTTTCCTGCTAACTGCAGACCCTAGGAGACAGTAGGGATGGCCCAGGTTGGGTTCCTGCCACCCTCAAGGGAGACCTTTGGCCTCAGCCTGGTCTTGTCTGTTGCAGGCATTTGAGGAGTGAACTAGTACATAAGAACTACATCTGTCTCTTTATCTCTCTGCCTCTCAAATAAATGAATAAAAATGTTTTTAAAAAGTATATACATACGCCGGCGCCGCGGCTCACTAGGCTAATCCTCCGCCTTGCAGCGCCAGCACACCAGGTTCTAGTCCCGGTCAGGGCGCCGGATTCTGTCCCGGTGGCCCCTCTTCCAGGCCAGCTCTCTGCTGTGGCCTAGGAGTACAGTGGAGGATGGCCCAAGTGCTTGGGCCCTGCACCCCATGGGAGACCAGGAGAAGCACCTGGCTTCTGCCTTTGGATAGGTGCGGTGCGCTGGCCACAGCGCGCCGGCCGCGCCGGCCATTGGAGGGTGAACCAACGGCAAAGGAAGACCTTTCTCTCTGTCTCTCTTTCTCACTGTCTACTCTGCCTGTCAAAAAAAAAGTATATACATACACCACTATATTTTTAAATAATGTTTCAAATAATACAGAAAAAAAAAGAAGCAATGGTTATCTATAAGGAGAGAGTTCAGGAGCAAAAGGAAAACTAACTTTTCACTGAACACGCTTTTGTGCCTTCCAAATTTTGTACCATGTGCTATATTAATAGTCAGAAATAAATAAAATTGTTTCTTTGTACTTTATTTTCATGAGGATTTCTTTTTTTATTTTTATTTTTATTTATTTTTTATTTTTTTGACAGGCCCCGACCGGGACTAGAATCGGTGTGCCAGCGCCGCAAGGCGGAGGATTAGCCTAGTGAGCCGCGGCGCTGGCCTCTTTTTTTATTTTTATTTACTTGTTTTCATTTTATTTGAAAGGCAGAGAGACAGAGAGATTAATTTGCTATGTAATGGTTCATTACTCAACAGCCAGGGCTGGGCTGGGCCAGGCTGAAGCCAGGAGCCCAGAATTCCATTTGGGTCTCCCAAGTAGATGGCAGAAACTCAAGTACATCAGATTGGAAGCAGGGTAGCTGGGGGCTCAAACTGATATGGGATGCAGGCATCCCAAGCAGCAACTTAAGCTGCTGTGCCCAACCCATTCATGAGGATTTCTGAGAAACCATGTGACTTGAGAAATAATAAAACTAGTAACTTTTCCCCCACTTAGTTAGGTTCAAACACTTTGCTGCCAACCATCTCCAACAAACACAGCAGCCGGTCATCTAAGTTGAACTGAAACACTGCAGGTGGTATTCTTCCTTCAGTCACCCATGGAGAGCTGGCCAGGTTTAGAAACAGCCTACATGCTCAAACACGGGGTCTGGAGCCTGGGGTCAGGATGGGAAGGCTGGATTTAGTTCAATGGATGTGCCAAAACAGGAATCACTTACCCGATCATAGGTGTCCCCCTCGAGTTCTCCCCACTTCCTGCCATCCCACGAGGTGACTCGAACTCTATCCCTGATACCCTGAGGCACATAGCTGTGAAGAACCTTCTGTAGTCTGCCTGTCCGGGAAGTGGACAGATCATTGGCAGCAAGATTGCCTAAGGAAACAAAGATATTTCAGAAGCCATGGCCCAGTGGAACATCCCACCAGCAATAGTACTGACAGACCAATTCTCAGGGCAATCAGTAGACTCAAGGGGACGGTGCTATGGCATAGCAGGTAAAACCACCACCTGCCATGCCAGCATCCCATATGAGTGCCAGCTCAAGTCCCAGCTGCTCCACTTCCAATCCAGCTCTCTGCTATGGTCTGGGAAAGCAGCAGAAGATGGCCCAAGTCCTTGGGCCCCAGCACCTGCATGGGAGACCCAGAAGAAGCTCTAGCTCCTGGCTTTGGATCGACCCAGCTCCAGCCATTGCAGCCATTTGGGGAGTGAATCAGCAAATGGAAGACCTCTCTCTCTCTCTTTGCCTCTTGCCTCTCTGTAACTCTGCCTTTCAAATAAATAAATAAATCTTCAAAAAATATACAGACTCAAGGGGCAGGGATGTTTATTATGTGCACAGCACAGTATCAGTCACCCTGGAATGGGAGTGGTAAAGGCAAACAGCTACAATAGATCAGAAAGGTGGCACAGTGGGTTAAGCAGCCGTCTGCAGTGCTGACACCCCATATGGGCATCAGTTCAAGTCCTACCTGCTCCACTTCCTATCCAGCTCCCTGCTAATGGACCTGGGAAAGCAGCAGAAGATGGCCCAAGTGTCTGGGCCCCTGTACCCACGTAGGAGCCACAGATGAAGCTCCTGGCTTTGACCTGGCCTCATCCTGGTCATTGTGGCCATTTGGGGAGTGAACCAGCAGATGGAAGATCTCTCTCTGTCTTTCCCCCTCTCTCTGGAACTCTGATTTTCAAATAAATAAATAAATCTTAAAGAAATGAGGCAGATCAGGTAAGAATAGTTAAGAAATATGCTCTCTCCTACCATTTTTTTAAAAGATTTATTTATTTATTTGAAAGTCAGAATTACACAGCGAGAGCAGAGGAAGAGAGAGAAAGAGAGAGATCTTCCACCCCATGGTTTACTCCCCAATTGGCCACAACGGCCAGAGCTGCGCCGATCTGAAGCCAGGAGCCAGGAGCTTCTTCTGGGTCTCCCACGTGGGTGCAGGGGCCTAAGCACTTGAGCCATCCTCTACTGCTATTCCAGGCCATAGCAGAGAGCTGGATCGGAATAGGAACAGCCAGGTCTCAAACTGGCGCCTACATGGGTTGCCGGCGCTTCAGGCCAAGGCGCCAGCCCCCTCTTTTTTTTTTTTTTTTTTTTTTTAATATTTATTTACTTATTTGAAAGGCAGAGTGATAGGGAGAGAGAGATCTTCCATCCTTTGGTTCACTCCCCAAATGGCTGCAATGGCCTGGGATAGTCTGAGCTGATCCAAGCTGAAGCCCAGAACTCCAACTGGATCTGCTATCTGGGTCTGTGTCTGCTGCTTTCCCAGGTGCATTAGCTAGGAACTGGATTGGAAGCAGAGCAGTCAGGACTCAAACTAGCATTCCAATAGAGGATGCTAGCATTGCAAGCAGTAGCTTAACACCACAGGGTGCCAGGATCACAAGTGGTAGCTTAACACACTGCGCCACATCACGGGTCCCTCTCCTACTATTCTTGAAACATGTGGCTCTTTTCATCTTTGGTAGATACTACAAGTTATTTACCCAACATGTATTCTCTTATTCCTTAGTATTAGAACCTTAATTTTATTGGGAGTCGGCAATGTACCCAAAAAAAGACTATTTCCCAGCCTCCTTTTGTAATTAAGTATGACTATATGACTATATGACTCAGTTTCGGTCAATAAGTTGTAGGCATAGCAGGTAAAGCCACGACCTGCAATTCTGGCATTCCAAACGAGCAACGGTTCAGGTCTCGGCTGCTCCACTTTTCTTTTTTTTTTTTCCAAAGATTTATTTATTTATTTGCAAGTCAGAGTTACATAGAGAGAGAAGAGGCAGAGAGAGAGAGAGAGAGAGAGAGAGAAAGAAAGTCCTCCATCTGCTGGTTCACTCCCCAGAAGCTCCTGGCTTCAGCTTGGTCCAGATCTGGCTGTGGCAGCCATCTGGGGAATAACAGGAGATAAAAGAGATATGTCTCTGTCTCCTAATTCTGACTTTCAAATAAATATTTTAAAAAAATAAGCTACTTCTGAAAACATGCTTTTGAAAAGGTGACACAAGAATGGGTATTTAACCTAGTGGTTAAGACATTGGTTAAGACATAAGTATCGGGGCCTGTGCTCTGGCGCAGCAGGTTAACATCCTGGCCGGCAGTGCCAGCATCCCATATGGGCGCCGGTTCAAGGCTCAGCTGCTCCACTTCTGATCCAGCTCTCTGCTGTGGCCTGGGAAAGAGTAGGAGATGGCCCAAGTCCTTGGGTCCCTGCATCCGTGTGGGAGACCTGGAAGAAGCTCCTGGCTCCTGGCTGCGGATTGACGCAACTCCGGCTGTTGCAGCCAATTGAGGAGTGAACCATCGGATGGAAGATCTCTTTCTCTCTCTGTCTCTCCTCTCTCTGTGTAACTCTGACTTTGAAATAAAATAAATAAATCATTAAAAAAAAAAAAAGATATAAGTATCCCACACTGGAGCACCTGTGTGCAATATCCAGCTCCAGCTTCCTGCTAATGCAGACCCTGGCAGGCAGCAGTGATGGCTCAAGTGACTGCGTTCCTGTCACCCACATGGGAGACCTGGTCTGAGCTCCTGGCTCTTTTTTTTTTTTTTTTTTTTTGACAGGCAGAGTGGATAGTGAGAGAGAGAGACAGAGAGAAAGGTCCTCCTTTTGCCGTTGGTTCACCCTCCAATGGCCACCGCGGCCGGCACACTGCGGCCGGCGCACCGCGCTGATCTGAAGGCAGAAGCCAGGTGCTTCTCCTGGTCTCCCATGGGGTGCAGGGCCCAAGCACTTGGGCCATCCTCCACTGCACTCCCGGGCCACAGCAGAGAGCTGGCCTGGAAGAGGGGCAACCGGGACAGAATCCGGCACCCCGATCGGGACTAGAACCTGGTGTGCCGGCGCCACAAGGTGGAGGATTAGCCTATTGAGCCACGGCGCCGGCCGCTCCTGGCTCTTAATTTTAGTCCTGGCCACTCCAGGCATTTGGGAAGTGAGCTAGTGAGTCAGAGCTCTCTATTTCTATCTCTCCCGGCCCCATCCCCATCCCTCCCTTTTGCTCTCTCTTTCAAATAAATATATTTTTTAAGATTTATTTATTTATTTATTTTAAAGTCAGAGTTACAGAGAAGGAGAGGCAGAGGTAGAGAGAGAGAAAGAGAAAGATCTTTCATCTGCTGCTTCAATACCCAAATAGCCACAACAGTCAGGGCTTAGCCAGGCTGAAGCCAAGAGCCAGGAGCTTCTTCCAGGTCTCCCAGGTGGGTGCAGGGGCCCAAGCACTTGAGCCATCCTCTGCTGCTTTCCTAGGCACATTAGCAGGGAGTTGGATCAGCAGTGGAGCAGGGGCTGGCACAGTGACATAGGTTAATCCTCCACCTGCAGCGCCAGCATCCCATATGGGCACCGGTTCTAGTCCTGGCTGCTCTACTTCCAATCCTGCTGTCTGCTGTGACCTGGGAAAGCAGTGGAGGATGGTTGAGCGCTTGGGCCCCTGTATCTGCATGGGAGACTGGGAAGAAACACCTGGCTCCTGGCTTCGGATCAGCGCAGCTCCGGCCATTGCGGTCATTTAGGGAGTGAATCAACAGAAGGAAGAACTTTCTCTCTCCCTCTCACTGTCTGTAACTCTACTCAAATAAATAAAAATTAAAAAATAAAATAAAAAAGAAGAAGTGGAGTAGCTGGGACTTGATCCAGCACCCGTATGGGATGCTGGTGTCGCAGGCTGTGGCTTTACCCGCTATACCACAGCATTAGTTCCGAAAAGAAATTTTTATAACAAGCAAGTTCTATTCACCTCCCTCTGATCTTGAGACCCATCATATGGTACGATCTTAACTAGGCAAGGTAGGGTACCCTCCCTGCCCAAGACACCAGCACCCTGACTTACGGCAACAGCCAGTCTGAAGTAATGCTAATGTCTTTCCTCCTGGGGCCGCACACAGGTCAAGCACGGTGTCCCCAGGCTGCAGGCCAAGGGCCAGGACAGGCAGCAAGGAGGCAGCATCCATCAGGTAGTAGTCCATAACACCTTGGCTGCCAAGTCTGGAAGAGAACAACTGATAGTTAAATTGCAGGACAGATCACTCATGGGAGTCAAGGCCTCAAAGTCCACGTTAAGGAACCTATGAGCTCCACTCAGCAAAAGCTTACTTCTCAAAATTCACTTATACAATAGTTAACAGTGATCCTTTGAAAACACAGATCAGAGGCAGGCATTTGGAGGAGCAGCCCACAGTGGTCCACAACTGGGCCAGGCTGAAGCCAGGAGCTGGGAACTCAATCCAAGTCTCCCACATGGGTGGCAGGGATTCAAGTACTTGAGCCATCATCTGTTGCCTCCCAGGGTGCATATCAACAGGAAGCTGGAATTGAGAATGGAGCTGAAACTCAAACATAGGCACTTTCAATATCGCAGACAGATGTCCTAAGCAGCATCCTTACCACTGTACCAAACACCTGCCCCAAGTTTTCTTTAAAGTACTTGTTATTTACTTTAAATGTAGAGTACAGATGTGTGTGTGTGTGTGTGTGTGTGTATCCCCCCCCCCCCCATTAGAATGTTAGCTCTACAAGAGCAGATTTTTGTTTGCTTTGTTCACTATAATGTGCTCAACACTTGAAACAATGCTTGGCACACAGTAGGATCTTGGTTTTGTTTACATATTGAGATAACAAAGTGCTTCCTGGATTCAGAGAGAGGAATCATCAATCGTGCTCATCAGAATAAACTGGGCTGGGCCTGATGAAGGAATAAGAGGCCTTCATTCGAAGAGAAAGGAAGAGAACTGAGGCAGGCGTTTGGTGTAGCAGTTGAGTGGCCGCTTGCGATGCCTGCAGCCCATGGTGCAGTGCCTGGTTCAATCCAGCTTCCTGCTAATGCACATCCTGGGAGGCAGCACCAGACAGCTTAAATACTTGGGATCCTGCCACACACATGGGAGACCCAGGAGCTGGGCTCCTGGCTTCGGCCTGGTCCAGCCTCAGCTGTTGCAGATATCTGGGGAGTGAACCAGAGGATGGAAGATCTCTCTGTCCTTTTACCTTTCAAAAAAATGAAAATAGATACTTTAAATTAAAAAAAAAAAAACTCTATAATTAGAAGTTTAGACTATAACTTGTAAACAGTTACTAAAATTTCTAGGGAAAATGAACTAATCAGACAAGTCTGAGTTTTAGAGAATTAAGTAGGCTAGAAAGAACAAATCAGAGGGACAAGCATTTGGCAGAAGTAACATGCCACTTGGGACACTCAGATCCCTTATGGGAGTTCTTGGGTTCAAATCTCAGCTCCACTCCTGACTTTACCCTCCTGCTAATGAGCACCCTGACAGGCAGTAAGTGATGGCTTAAGTACTTGGGTCCCTAACACATACACAGGAAACCTGGATCAGGTTCTGGGCTCCAGCTTTGGCTGGCCCAGCTCTGGACCCTGGCTGATGCAGGCATTGGGAAGTGAACCACTGGATGGAAGATATCTCTTTTTCTTTCTCTTTTAAATAAAATTAAAATAAATTTTTAAATAGAATTAGAGACAACAGCTGGCAGCCACCATCTGAGAGGGAGGGAAAACAGCAGCTTAAATGTCATAGGATTCCCTACCCGTAGGCCAGTTGTCCTAAGGGCAGTTGTGATGAGTAGTCATCCCTTCCACCTGAGACAGCTCAGAATGGACAGCCCTGGGAACAGACTCAGGGAGACAGACACCCTGTTAGGAAAAGGGTCTGGGAGAAGGACACAGCACCACTGAGGGTCAGCCACAAGAGGTGCAACCCCCAGTCCTGAGACTTGTTAACACCTCAAGTATTCACAAGTAGGCTCAGGCTGTTGAGGATATTTTTAAAGTCAAACCATGTTTGGACTGAAACTGAGTGCTCCGTGCCTCACAAAGGAGAATAACAAAAGGACAGAGAAATCTGAGGCCAGCAGCGACTACTATCACACCAGCACTGACCTATAAAACTCATCAAGGACGGTGCTGCGGCTCACTAGGCTAATCCTCAGCCTGCGGCACCGGCACTCCAGGTTCTAGTCCCGGTTCTATCCCGGCTGCTCCTCTTCCAGTCCAGCTCTCTGCTGTTGCCCGGGAAGGCAGTGGAGAATGGCCCAAGTCCTTGGGCCCTGCACCCGCATGGGAGAACAGCAGGAAGCACCTGGCTCCTGGCTTTGGATAGGCGCAATGTGCTGGCCGTAGCAGCCATTTGGGGGGTAAACCAATGGAAAAGGAAGACCTTTCTCTCTGTCTCTCTCTGTCTCTCTTACTAACTCTGCCTGTCAAAAAAAAAAAAAAAAGATTTGTTTATTTGAAAGTTACAGAGTGGGAGAAACAGAGAGAGATTATCTTCCATCTGCTGGCTCACTACCCAAATGGCTACAACAGCCAGGGCTGGGCCAGGCAGAGGCCAGGAACCTGGAAATCCATCCAGGTCTCCTACATGGGTTCAAGGATTTGGGCCACCTTCTGCTACTTTCCCAGGTACATTAGCAGGGAGCTGGATCAGAAGTGGAGTGGCCAGGACTAGGTCCAGCACTCATATGGAATGCTGGCACTGCAGGTGACAGCTTAATCCACTGCGCCACAATGCTGGCCTCCAATTATAGATTTTTAAAATAAGTGTCTTCCTCCCGAGGCTGGAAACCCTATGAGGGCTTGTGCACCAATAACCCAGGTACTTAAGTGCCTGGCATATAGTATACAATAAATATTTGTCAAATGAATCCATCTTTGAAAGGTCAATTCACACATCCTATGACAGTGAGCTCTCTACTCTCCATTTCTAAAGCACAATTCAGCATCTGATTCTGGAGTCTTTTCTCATCCAACTTCATATAAGAGGACAGGAGCACCGGATCAAGAGACTGAAGTTCTTTTTTTTTCCAAGCTGGTACTTACTTTGAGTCCCTAGGCAAGCACCATTTCCTAGGAAAGACTCACTTTATCTTTGGTACCCAGTTACTTGTCCTATTCACTTTTTGGTGGCTGTGAGGGCATTTTAACTTGACAGGGTATAGTAAGTGCTCATGTAGAGATGGCTGTCTTCTACAGGAAGCAGCAGAGAGCAGTTCAAAGCCCAGGTTCTGGGGTCAGACCACCTAGCTGGGGTTTGAATACTAGCTGCATCAGTTATTATAAGAAAGACTCAAAGCAAGTAAGTGTCTTAACTTCTCTGTACCTCAGTTACCTCAAACGTAAACAAGCAGCAATAATATTACCCACTTTGGGGCCGGTGCTGTGGTGCAGCGGGTTAATGCCCTGGCCTGAAGCGCCGGCATCCCATATGGGCGCCAGTTTGAGACCCGGCTGCTCCACTTCCGATCCAGCTCTCTGCTGTGGCCTGGGAAAGCAGTAGAAGATGGCCCAAGTTCATGGGCCCCAGCACCCACGTAGGAGACCCAGAGGAGGCTCCTGGCTTCTGGCTTTGGATCAGTGCAGTTCTGGTCATTGCAGCCAATTGGGGAGTGAACCATCGTATGGAAGACCTCCCTCTCTCTCTCTCTCTGCCTCTCCTCTCTCTGTATAACTCTTTCCAATAAATAAATAAATCTTTAAAAAAAAGATTTAAAAAAAATATTACCCACTTCATAGGGACAGAACAAAAGGAGGTAACACACATTACAGTACTTAGAAAAATGCCTATCCTGGGGATCGGTGCTGTGGCGTAGTAAGTAAAGCCACCACCTGCAGTGCTGGCATCCCATATGGGCACTGGCTCAAGTCTTGGCTGTTCCACTTCCAATCCAGCTCTCTGCTATGGCCTGGGAAAGCAGCAGAAGATGGCCCAAGTGCTTGGGCCCCTGCACCCACATGAGAGACCTGGAAGAAGCTCCTGGCTCCTGGCTCCTGGCTTCAGATCGGTCCAAATTGGGCTGTTGTGGCCATTCTGTAACTCTGCATTTTGAATAAATTAATGAAAAAAAAAAAAGAAGAAAAATGCTTATCCTGGAGTTGGGCATTTAAAAAAAAAGGATTTTTATTTATTTGAAAGACAAAGTTACAGAGAGAAAGGGAGAGACAGAGAAAGGGAGAAAGATCTTCCATCCGCTGCTTCGCTCCCCAAATGGCCACAGTGACTAGGGCTGGGCCAGGCAGAAGCCAGGAGCCCAGAGCTTCTTCCGGGTTTCCCATGGGTGTAGGGGCCCAAGCACTTGGGCCATCCTCCCCAATGCTCTTCTAGGAGCATTAGCAAAGAGCTGGATTGGAAGTGGAAAGGCAAGGACTTAAACTGGTGTCCATATGGGACACTGATGTCACAGGCAGTGGCTTAACCTGCTACGCTACAACACTGGGCCTGGGGGTGGGTGTATGACACAGAGGTTAAGATGCTGCTTGGGGCCGGCACCATGGAATAGCAGGTAACGCCACTGCCTGCAGTGCCGGCATCCCATATGGGCACCAGTTCAAGTCCCTGATGCTCCACTTCCAACCCAGCTCTCTGCTATAGCCTGGGAAAGCAGTAGAAGATGGCCCAAGTGCTTGGGCCCCTGCATCCGCCTATGAGACCTAGAAGAAGCTCCTGGCTCCTGGCCTCAGCTCAGCTCAGCTCCAGCCATTGTTGCCATCTGGGGAGTAAGCCAGTGAATGGAAGATTCCTTTCTCTCTGTAACTCTCTGCCTTTCAAATAAATAAATAAATCTTGGAAAAAAAAAAAAAAGATGGTGCTTATGGGTAAAGCTAGCACCTGCAGCACCAGCATCCCATATGGATGCCAGTTCAAGTCCCAGCTGCTTCACTTCCGATCCAGTGCACTGCTGATGCTCCTGGGAAAGCAGTGGAAGACAGCCCAACTGCACAGGCCCCTGCACCACATGGGAGACTAGGACAAAGCTCCTGGCTTTGGACCTGCCCAGCCCCAGCCACTGCAACCATTTGGGGAGTGAACCAGCAGATGGAAGATATTTCTCTCTCTCCAACTCTGTCTTTCAAATATATAAATATATAAATGTTGAAAAAAAATATGCTTCTTGGTATGGAGTGTCTGATTTGAGGCCCAGCTCCTCTATTTCCAATCCAGTTTCTTGCTGATGGGTGCTCTGGGAAGCAGCAGGATGTATCAAATAACTGGGTCACCCATATGGGAGATGCACATTGAGATGCAGGCTCGCTTTGGCCTGACACAGCCCTGGCTATTGCTCTCTGTCTCTTTGCCTTTTAAAAAGCAAAAGAAAGAAAAGAAATTATAATTTTTTAAAAAAGAAAGGAAAGATGTGTAGCCTGTATAAGCACACTATAATATTAACAATATTATGGTTCTTATCATAGAGGGCAGGCGCTGGGTCTCCTCATGTCTGCTTGCAGCTGGTACTCCAGACAGACCCAGGAGCTGGTGCTGTGGCATAGTGGGTAAAGCCGCCGCCTGCTGTGCCAGCATTCCATATGGGAGCCAGTTCAAATCCTGGCTGCTCCACTTCTGATCTAGCTCTCTGCTATGGCCTGGGAAAGCAGTAGAAGATGGCCCAAGTCCTTGGGCCCCTGCACCCATGTAGGAGATCGGGAAGAAGTTCCTGGCTCCTGGCTTCAGATCAGCACAGCTCCAGCCATCGTGACCATCTGGGGAGTGAACCAGCAGATGGAAGACCCCCGACCTCCCCCGCCCCCCCGCTTCTGTAACTTTGCCTTTCAAATAAATAAATAATTAAAAAAAAAAAAAAAAAACCAGACCCAGTGACGGCTCTAGATCCTACCTTGCAGGAGAGAAGCGGCTGACATCTCCTCTGGCAAAAGTGAAGCATCGAAGGTTTGGACTACAGGCCCAGGAGGCTGGGGATGGTGTTGTAGCTTGGCCACTCTCAGGCTCCAGTTCCCAGTGGGTGACGGCGTCGTTCACAAAGTCCCTGGCACTCAGCTGCTCCAGGTTAGCACTCACGTGATCCCAAGCAGCAAAGTTATTGACCAGTGCACCATACTTCTGCTCTGAGAGGAGACTGACACGGATAGATGGCCAAAGATCCCCAAACTGCACACTGTAAGTCATGTCAAAATTCTGCAGAGCCAGTTGACTGGCAGGGAACCGGGGCTCTGTGGAAGCCTAAAACAGAAAGTACAGGCTTACTGTCCTGCTCCATCTCACCTCTATTCCCTACTGCCAGACCCTACCAACTCCTTAGAGATCAGGGAGTAAATCTGGGTCCAGCCAATACCCACCGCTGCCATTACATCGGCCATTAATCCTACCATTGCCTACTTGCTAGAGGAGAAATGTGGGAGCAAAAAGTGGTGGGGAGCTGGCCTTACATCCCAGAATCGTGAGAAAAAGGAAGCTATAATTTACAATAAATACAAAGAGCAGGGGTGGGAGTTGTGGCACAGGTTAAGCAGCCACTTGGGATGCCATGTTCCGTATCAGATTGCCTGGGATGGAGTCCCACCTCTACTTTCCAACCAGCTTCTTGCTAATGTAGACCCTGGGAGGTAGCAAATAATGGCCAAAGAACTTTAGTTCCTGCCACCCACATGGGAGATTTGTGTAGAATTCCTGGCTCCTGATTTCACCCTGGTTGATGGCATTTGGGAAGTGAACCAATGAACAGAAGAGCTCTCTCTCTCTGCTTTCTTTTTTTTAGTAATTTATTTGAAAGTCAGAGTTACACAGAGAGAGGAGAGAGAGAGAGGGAGAGGGAAAGGGAGAGGGAGAAGGACAGGGACAGGGACAGGGAGAGGGGGAGGGGGAGGGAGAGAGAGGTTTTCTATCTGATGGTTCACTCCCCAATTGGTCGCAATGGCCGGAGCTGTGCCAATCCGAAGCCAGGAGCTTCTTCCGGGTCTCCCACATGGGTGCAGGGGTCCAAGGATTTGAGCCATCTTCTACTGCTTTCCCAGGCCACAGCAGAGAGCTGGATCAGAAGTGGAACAGCTGGTTCTCAAACGAGGCCCATCAGGGATGCTGGCGCTTCAGGCCAGGGTGTTAACCTGCTGTGCCACAGCACTGGTCTCTCCTTTTCTTTTTTAGAAGATTTATTTAATTTATTTGAAAGGCAGGGTTAGAAAGAGAAAGAAAGAGATTCCATCTGCTGGTTCGCTTCCCAGATGGCCACAACTAGGGTGGGCTGAAACCAGGAGCCAATACCTTCTTCCGGGTCTTCCATATAGGTGTGCAAGCCTAAAGACTTGGGGTATCCTCTGCTGCTTTCCCAGGAGCATTAGCAGCAGCTAGATTGGAAGTGGAACAACCAGGACTTGAACTGGTGCCCAAATGGGCTTCTGGCACTGCAGGCTGTGGCTTAACCTGCTGTGCCACAGCACCAGCCCAACACTGCCTTTCAAATAAATATTTTTTTAAAATTATTTTATTTATTTATTTACTTGAAAGTCAGAGTTACACAGAGAGAAGACAGGCAGAAAGAGAGAGGTCTCCTATCCAATGGTTCACTTCCCAATTGGCTGCAATGGCTAGAGTTGTGCCAATCCGAAGTCAGGAGCCAGGAGCTCCCTCAGGGTCTCCCACATGGGTGCAGGGGCCCAAGGACTTGGGCCATCCTCCACTGCCTTCCCAGGCCATAGCAGAGAGCTGGATTGGAAGAGGAGCAGCCAGGCCTTGAACTGGTGCCCACATAGGATGCTGGCACTTCAGGCCAGGGTGTTAACCCGCTGTGCCTCAGCACCGGCCCTTCAAGTAAATATTTTTTTTTGACAGGCAGAGTGGACAGTGAGAGAGAGACAAACAGAGAAAGGTCTTCCTTTAACGTTGGTTCACCCCCCAATGGCCGCTCCACCGGCGCACTGCGGCCAGTGCACCACGCCAATCCGAAGCCAGGAGCCAGGTGCTTCTCCTGGTCTCCCATGTGGGTGTAGGGCCCAAAGACTTGGGCCGTCCTCTACTGCACTCCTGGGCCACAACAGAGAGCAGGACTGGAAAAGGAGCAACTGAGACAGAATCCGGCACCCCGACCGGGACTAGAACCCGATGTGCCGGCGCTGCAGGTGAAGGATTAGGCTATTGAGCTGCGGCGCCGGCCTCAAATAAATATTTTTTAAAAATAGGGGCCAGCGCCATGGCGTAGCAGGGTAAGCCACTGTCTGCATTACTGACATTCCATATAGGCGCCAGTTTAAGTCCCAGCTGCTCCATTTCTGATCCAGCTCCCTGATGATGGCCTGCGAAAGCAGTAGATGGCCCAAGTGCTTGGGCCCCTGTACCCACATGGGAGATCCACAAGAAGCTCCTGGCTCCTAGCTTTGGATCGGCCCAGCTCCTGCCATTGCAGTCATTTGGAGAGTGAACCAGTGGACAGAAGACCTCTCTCTCTCTCCCTCTGTGACTCTGCCTCTCAAATAAATATTAAAAAAAAAAAAAAAAAAGAGGCCAGTGCCGTGGCTCAATAGGCTAATCTTCCGCCTTGCAGTGCCGGCACACCGGGTTCTAGTCCCAGTCGAGGCGCCGGATTCTGTCCCGTGGCCCCTCTTCCAGGCCAGCTCTCTGCTGTGACCAGGGAGTACAGTGGAGGATGGCCCAAGTGCTTGGGCCCTGCACCCCATGGGAGACCAGGAGAAGCACCTGGCTCCTGCCTTCGGATCAGTGTGGTGCGCCGGCCGCAGTGCGCCCGCCGCGGTGGCCACTGGAGGGTGAACCAACGGCAAAGGAAGACCTTTCTCTCTCTCTCTCTCTCTCACTGTCCACTCTGCCTGTCAAAAAAAAAAAAAAAAAAAAAAAAAAAAAAAAAGAACATGGACAACTTATTTAAAAACAACATGTGGGGGTTATCAATAAAGGGAGTCTTGGCATAAGAGGAATTTAAAGAGGATGGGAGCTCAGAGAGGACTTTTGAGAAGAGCCTGCAGAAGGCTAGAACAAACTATTGAGGCCCTAGGAAAGCTTTAGGCTTAAAGACAAAAGATCCTTTTCTTCTGAACAATCTTATTTTCCAAAACACATTCATGTCTACTAGATTATGTGAACAAAAGCAACAATAGCAGGCACCAGCACTGTGGCGCAGCAGGTTAAAGCCCCATCTTGCAGCACCGGCATTCCACATGGGCCCCGGTTCAAGTCATGGCTGCCCCACTTCCGATCCAGCTCTCTGCTGTGGAAAGCAGTGGAAGATGGCCCAAGTCCTTGAGCCCCTGCATCCCTGTGGGAGACCCAGAAGAAGCTCCTTGCTCCTGGCTTCAGATCAGCTCAGCTCTAGCCGTTGTGGCCATTTGGGAAGACAAATGGAAGACCTCTTTCTCTGTATCTACCTCTCCCCATAACTCTTTCAAATAAATAAAACAAATCTTAAAAAAAAAAAAAAAAGATTCTAAGACTCTTTAAAAAAGTATTAAAGTAACAACAGTAGTGCTCAGTAGAATGCAGTAAAAACAGTCTTCCCCATGTGACGGAGAGATGGGGGTAACTTACCTCAGTCATGCAGTGACTGGTAGCACAATGCTCAAAGCACAGGGTTGAGGGTTGTTTTGGGAGAGTTCTTAGAACTCAGGAAGGGGGATAGAGAGAGTTCACCGGAGGTGTGAACCAACAGGGACTCGCAGGATGATTCTATGGTTACCAGAGAAGGACGTAAGCTAGGTTTGAAGAGCAAGGTAGATTAACAGGGAAATGAAGACTGCACACGAGCAGTCCACAGGCTGGTCCTGGCTGCCACAGCTGGGACGCTTCTATGGCTGGCAGCCTTGACACTGTCTGTGACTTCTGGTCTGGCCTGGATTTGGTCCAGTCGGAACTCCTGCTCAGGCCCTCATTTCTTGTGGCGGCGGGGACTCTTGCTCCGACCATGATGTCTGGCGTGGTGAGGACTCTTGCTCTGGCCCCGATCCTTGCCACGGTGAGGACTCTTGCTTGGGCTCCTACTATGCTTGGGACTCTTGCTCCGGTCCTGATGTTTGCCGTGAGAACCCTTGCTCCGACCTCTGTCATGGTGGGAACTCTTGCTCTGGTCCTGGGTTTTGCTAGGCTGAGAATTCTCACTCTGATGCTCATCTAAAACAAACTGAGGGCTCTTGCTCTGGCCCGCATTTATTTTGTGATGAGGACTACTGCTCCGACTCCTGCTACCATGGGGACTCATGCTCCGGCTCTGGCTTCTGCTGTGATCGGGTTTCTTGGTCCGGACCCGACTTTTGCTATATTTCAGACTCTTGCTTTGGTTCTCATTTTTGCTTTGGTGGGTACTCTCACTCTGGTTGTCACTACTCTGGCATTCACTAATGATAACAGTCGAACTACAGCTGGGGACACTGGTACAGGTAGAACTCTTGGATGAAGACAAAGGGCAGCTGTAGGGGATCTTGGGGGACTCTTTACTAGGGCCTTGACAGGCCACAGAGTAGGTATGAAGACCACAGGGGACAGTAGCAGGGGAGGCCTGGGCTCGGGGGCCAATGGGTAAACACTGGGGGTCAAAGGGTGTTCTCAAAGGGATAAAAGAATATATGTGGGTAGAACAAGGGGGTGCCACAGGCTGGCAATGGAGTATGGGTGGGCCCCTGGGAGTACCATAGGTGCCACAGGAGGGTACCACACGCTGTTTATAACACGGAGGGGGGCCTGCAGAGTGATAGAGGGAACCAGAGAGTGGGAAAGCATGGGGGGTGGGAGGAACCATAGAGTATATATGGGTATTGCAGGGCGGTCCTCTGGGGAGTTTATGGGGGCCACTCTTAGCATAATTATTGGGTGAGAGAGGATCACAAGGAAGACGGAGAGGAAGGCAGGTGGGGATAACTGTTTTGAGGGTTCTAGGGACCACAGTAGGTAGGGGAGTCCCTGGGGGAAATTCTCTGGGGCAGGAATTAGAAGGCACCGCCAAGGATGGCTCTGGACAAGAAGGACTGGAGAGGCCAGAGGGAAGACAGGGAGGTGGAGGAGGTGTGCTGGCCTTAGGGGGCTTGGACTGACAAACAGGGGTAGGCTGAGAAGTGTTAACTAGGGAGTGACACTTGTGGGGAGGACATGGCTGTCTTAACTCTGATTTAGGGGGCTTCATTTGGGGTAAAACTGGAGTAGGCAGCGGGGGTTCGTTATAGCTTCTGCAGGGAGGTGACTGGGGTGTACATATATACTGGTTGCCCAGGGGTAAAGGGACACAAAAAGTAGGATAAAGACACTGGGGAGGAGGTGCTTCCTGGGAACAGAGAGGAACAGAAACCATGGCATCTGAGTTTATCAAGAAGTAAGAGCTCTTACCCCCCTCCCAGGACAAGACACAAGGCTTCCTGGGAGCCTGGGGTGGGGACGCGCAAGGAGAACCAGTATTCGCAGAGGGCAGGTGGATGGCACAGAAAGAGTTCCCAGGGGCAGATAGGTGGGCCTCTGAGGAAAGACAGGAGTAATGGTAAGGGCTCTCCTGAGGTAAGCAGGGAGAGCCAGATGTGCCTGCCTTAGAAGGAAGTGGGGAGCCACAATTTTTCCCAAGGGGCAGTTCAAGTTGTGGTTTTGGTTCACAAGAATCTGGAGGCTTAAGGCAGCCATGATAAAAGCTGCCAGGAGGTAACGAAGATGCTGGGGAAAGAGGAGGGTCACTACTTCTTGCTAGGGACGCGTGAGGAAGCAGCGGGGAGATCATCGTCCTAGTTTCCAAAACCCTGTGAGAAAGAGTTGGGGAGAACAGAGGTCTACCCTCCACCGGCTGGTGAGCAGTGAGAGGCGAAAGTGGGAGGCCAGTGCCCAAGGGCCTGTGAGTAAGAGGTGGCGAAACAATGGGACAAGGGCCCTGGGACCCAGGAGTGAGGGGAGGTGAAATCACGGAACCAGTTTCCAAAGATACACGAGTGAGCTGAGGGGAGGTCACCACGCTGGTCCCTGGAGGCCGATGAGTGAGGGTAGGAGAGGCCACCGGACTACAGTAACAGACGCAGGAGTGCTGGTCAAGGCAAGGACTTGGAGGGCAACGAGGCTGTGTTCGCTGGGAACTGATCCAGCTGCAGTAAGCATTCCGCTGATGGAGAGGGGGGGACCCCACAGGGCTGATCCGGTCAAAATACGGGCTTGAAGGGGGAGAACCAGAAAGGTTGGGCCCACCGCAGTAGGTCCTTTCCAGAGAGGAAGAGCAGGATTCAAAAGAACACCTCCCAGGGCACAAGGGAGGTGGTGGAGTTGGAGAGGAGGGTGGTGGGGGCGAGGAGGTAAGCGGTCTGGCTAGGCAAGGGGACGCGCAAGATAGGGAAGAAACTCCAACGCTACTGGTGAGGCAGGAAAAACGGTCTCTGGCGGGAGGTGGATCGCTGCATCTTTGGCCTGCGTTTGGGGAATGGCCGGTAGTATGGGCAGGATAGTCGCTGTAACCCTTCCTGGGCGCCAGGGGCAGCTCAAGGGTGAGGAAGGGGTTGAACCCTTTCCCGCAGGGCGGCGGAGACCCAGAAGAGAAGGGGAAGTCGCTAAAGCATTTTTCGAGGGGTGAGGGCGCCCTGGTCGGAAGTTCAAGGAGGAAGGGAGGAGACGAGGTCATGGGGTGGAGGGAGGGGGAGGGTAAACAGAAAAGGGGGGGAAGGGAGGGAGGAGAGAAGGCAGCGGAAGGGGGAGAGGGGCCAAGGGAAAGGAGATCAAGAAGAGGTGACATAACTTAAAGAATGAGGACGGAGGTGATGACGTAACTTAGAGGGGCGGAGCCAGAAGGCCGCACAGCTAACAAGGGAAAGAGCCTACGATTTGTGACAAAATAAAATTAGGGTGGACCAAGGCGGTGACGTAACAGACCCGAGAGGGTGACGCTCCCAGAGGAGCGGGGAAGACAGCCAAGCATTCCTGAGGGCGCAACAGCGAACGCAAACGAGAGCGGGAAGTGGAAGAGCTGTTTCTCTCTCTCTCTCTTTCTCTCACTCCACACACGCACACACCCGCGCCACAGTTGGAACTTACCCATTTCTTCTTATGTCGATATCTCCGCGGGACCGTTACAAAGCCCACTCGCCCCGCCAGCCCGCGAACACACCTCAGCACCGGCGCAGCCATGACAGCGTGCGTCGCCGGGGACTTCCGACCGGAACCACAGCGTCCGAGCCGCAGGTTCCGGGGAGGTGGTGCGCGCCGCTCTAGAGAAACGTGGAGGCGATTTCGTCCGACGGTCTCCGGGGTTCCGCCTCTCCATACCAGGTGCAAACCCCACCTTCCGCCCCCTTCCCCAGGGGAATTTTGGAGGTGTTGGAAGAAAAGCGACCTCTTGGCCCGCACGGCGGCTCAGTAAGCTAATCCTCCACCTTGCGGCACCAGCACACCGGGTTCTAGTCCCGGTCGGGGCGCCGGATTCTGTCCCGGTGGCCCCTCTTCCAGGCCACGTCTCTGCTATGGCCCGGGAGTTCAGTGGAGGATGGCCCAAGTGCTTGAGCCCTGCACCCCATGGGAGACCAGGAGAAGCACCTGGCTCCTGCCGTCAGATCAGCGCGGTGCGCCGGCCGCAGCGCGCCGGCCGCGATGGCCTTGGAGGGTGAACCAACGGCAAAGGAAGACATTTCTCTCTGTCTCTCACTGTCCACTCTGCTTGTCAAAAAAAAAAAAAAAGAAGAAAAAGAAAAAGAAAAGCGACCTCCTACATGCTAGGAGAAGGATTCGGGACTCCAGAGGTGCTCCTCACTCGGATTCGGTACCAAAGGGGGAAAAAGAGGGGGTGGAGGACCTTGCAGAAATTGGACGAAGATCCTGAAGTAAAGGAAAATGAAACCAGTCAAGGCAAATTGTGGTGAAGCAAAGGAATTTTAAGTTTCGGGCCCTGTTGTTTGCACAGCCCCCTTCGAGGCCCTGAACTTAATTTTGCATTCCTTTTCTGAAAGACAGACTCCCAAGTTACACTTCTGAAAGTGTAAACACTTTCAGAAAGGAACATGACAGTCAATGATCTGATTAGATAGTAAAGCCAGGAGATCAATTGGGATCCAGTGGATCCAGGAGATAAGACAACGGCCTGTATTAGCGTGGTGGCAATGAAAATGGAAAAGGGGGATGGATTCCATTTCTAATTAAGAGAAAATTAGAGAACTGATTGCTCCTATCTAAACAGTATATAGTACACCACACTACCAAGTTAAAAGTTGTTCTTGTTGGGCACCAAAAAATATGTTGTGCCCAGATCGTTAGATCCCCGCAGAGACCCCCAGAGAGTCGATCACACTGAACTGCAAAAGCAAGGTTTATTCGGGAGTACAAGCCGCAACAGGGACCCCATCCAACCAGCCGGCACAGTGGAGGAAGGAGTGAGGCCCCGGTCTTTGTTTGGGAGAGTTTTTAAAGGAAAAAGGGCTACATCAGCAGGAAAAAAGAGTTACATACAGCATGGAGGCTTTGGGTACAGGGAGTTACAGCGGGGGCTTACAGCAGGGAAGCTTTGGGCGCAGGGAGCTACTTTGTTTAGCAATCTCTACTGCGCTGTCCTTGGTCTACCGAGCTAGCTGTCCCTGGTAAGCTTTGATATCTCCGGAATGCCTGAATGCCTGCTTTTACAAGGACCCGGGTCTACTATGGGAAACGGAGGCTGCTTTTTTTTTTATTGTTTTAAAATGGAGTCACTTTGGTTCTTCAGTTCTCAGGACTGGCATTGTAGCGCAGTGGTTTAAGTTACCACTTGTGACACCAGCATCCCAGATCAGAGTGCCCAACCGGAGTTGCAGCTACTCCACTCCTGATCCAGCTTCTTGCCGACATGCTGAAAGCAGCAGAAGATAGCCAAAGTACTTGGGCCCCTGCCACCCATTTTGGAGACCCAGATGGGGTTCCTGGCTCCTAGTTTTAGCCTGGCTCAGACCTGGATGTTGTGGCCTTTTGGAGAGTGAATCAGCAGATGGAATCCCTCTGTCACTCTGCTTTTGAAATAATAAATAAACCTTAAAAGAAATAGCTATCCTCTTTCTGCTTTTATTCCTATTACTTATTACCAACTAATGTATACATACTTTTTTAAAGGTTTTTTTTGTTGTTGTTGTTTTTAATTTGAAAGGCGGTTAGACAGTAGGAGACAGGAAGAGATCTTCCATCCCCTGTTTCATTCGCCAAATGGCTGCGATGGCCAGGGCTGGGCCAGGCCAAAGCCAGGATCCTGGAACTCCTATGGGATGCCAGCATTGCATCACAGACAGCAGCTAAACCAGCTACACCTCAACGCCAGCCCCTAAAGATTTATTTACTTGTAAAGCAGAGTTACAGAGAGAGGAGAGACAGAGAGGTCTTCCATTTGATGGTTCACTCCCCAAATGACCACAACAGCTGGAGCTAGGCCAAGCTGAAGCCAGGAGCCTGGAACTCCATCCAGGTTTCCCACGTGGATGACAGGGGCCCAAGTATTAGGGCCATTTTCTTCTGCTTTCCTACACACAATAGGGAGCTGGATGGGAAGTGGAGCAGCCAGGACTTGAACCAGTACTCTCATGGGATGCCAGTGTTGCAGGCAACTGCTTAACCACCATGGCACAATGCTGTCCCCTTTAATATATATATTTTGTTTTGTAGTCTGCTAAGTTACAATTATCAAAGGGCTAAAAAGTGTAACTCTTGGGGCTGGTGTTTGGCATAGTGGTTAAGACGCTGCTTGGATGTCTGCATCCCATATCTACTGCCTAGTTTGAAGTCTCAGCTTTGCTTAGATTCCAGCTGCTTGCTAATGTGCACCCTGGGAGGCAGCAGGTAAAGGTATTTGGGCCCCTTTACCCATGTGGATTGAGTTCTGCATCTCATACAAATATAAAATGAATGAAAACTTTATTCATCATAAACTACTCATCCAGTATCCTACACTGACAAGTAATGTGGTAAGACCAAATAAGAATTTGAGTTCCAGAAATTATCTAAAATCAGGGGCCAGTGCTGTGACGTAGAAGGTTAAGTCAGCAGTGTTGCCATTCCATATGGACCCAGGTTTGAGTCCCGGCTGTTCCACTTCCTATCCAACTCCCTGCTAATGTGCCTGGGAAAGCAGTGGAAGATGACCCAAGTGCTTGGGCCCCTACACTCAAGTGTGAGACCTGTAAGAAGCTCCTGGCTCCTGGCTTTGGATCAGCCAGCTCTGGCTCTGCAGCCATTTTGGGGAGTGAACCAATAGATGGATGATCCATCTCTCTCACTCTCCTTCTCTCTATGTATCTCTGCCTTTCAAATAAAAAAAAATCCTTTAAAAAATTTTAAATAATCAGCCAAATCATGCTGAAACAAACTTGTTAATAATTGCAAAAACATTAATATCTTACAAAGTATCAATCTGTAATGTTTGAGATAATCTTCTCTACTAGATGGAAACCAGTTCCATGTCTTCTGGACAAAATGCACTTACATTGCTATGGATGAGAATCATTTGCATTGCTTTCAGATAAGAATTATTTGCATTAGCTCAGGGAGCAACACAGTTTACACAGGGTCAGTTGCCAGAATGTGAGCTTGGACTTGGCCAACTTTCCTTTCGAAAGGAAAGAGTGAAAGTCTTGTCATATTGGAGATTCAGTTAGACTTGATTCAGCTATTTAGGCTATGACTACCTGGGATAAATGGAGTTGAAATATAATTAATTTGACTTAAAGAAATTATTATTTGCAATCAGTATTTTTTAAATTTTATTTATTTTTTAGTCTTTTTTAAATTTTTAATTTTTAACAGATTCAATATGGTTTGTAGATACAATTATTATTATTATTATTATTATTATTTTTTTGGACAGGCAGAGTGGACAGTGAGAGAGAGAAACAGACAGAAAGGTCTTCCTTTGCCGTTGGTTCACCCTCCAATGGCCGCCGCGGCCGGCGCACCGCGCTGATCCGATGGCAGGAGCCAGGTGCTTCTCCTGGTCTCCCATGGGGTGCAGGGCCCAAGCACCTGGGCCATCCTCCACTGCACTCCCTGGCCACAGCAGAGAGCTGGCCTGGAAGAGGGGCAACCGGGACAGAATCCGGTGCCCCGGCCAGGACTAGAACCCGGTGTGCCAGTGCCGCAAGGCGGAGGATTAGCCTAGTGAGCCACGGCGCCGGCCTAGATACAATTCTAAGAACACAATGATATTCCCTTCTTCCCTCCCTCCCTTCCTCTCCCTGTCTCCTTCCCACCTTTCCTAGTATTTTTTTTTTTTTCAATTTTATTTTAGCCACAAACTTTTTATTTCATCTGCTTTACCATGCACAAGAATCATGTTCCCACATCCCATGTTCCTGGGTGCTGTGCTAATCTTCCTTCTCACCTTGGATTTTTTCCAGGTTATTAGTCAATCTAATACAAGCTAAAAACAACCATTATTTAACTGGTTTATTATAAAGGATATTACAAAGGCTATGGATGAACACCTGCTGAAGAAATAGATAGGGTCAGGTATTGGAGAAGAGATGCAGAGGTACCGTGCCCTCTCCTGTGCATGCACCACCCCCAGGAGCCTCCATTATGTTCAGCTAACTAGAAACAATTTCTGTTACCATCAGTCTGTGCAGATGCCTGCTCATTTTAGTCTACGAATATATGCTGCCAGGCACTTCCCATGAGCCATACACTATTGAGCACTTTGAAAATTACCTTTTAATCCAAACAACTTTTTTTTTTAATGGCCATGTATCAAGACTGAACGGGTCTGGGCAGGTGTTGTGGCACAGCAGGTTAAGCTGTTGCTTGGGACACCCACATCCCATATTGGAGTGCTGGTTCAAATTCCAGCTCCTCTGCTTCTGATCCAACTTTCTATTAATGCACCTGGATGGCAGCAGAAGATGGTCCAAGTAATTAGACCCTTGCTACCTATGTGATAGGAATTGGATGCTAGCATGGAGTTTCTGGCTCCTGGCTTCAGTCTGGCCCAGCCCTGGTAACTATAGGCATTTGGGGAGTGACCCAGCAGATGGAAGGTATCTTTCTGTCACTCTGTCTTTCAAATAAAAACTTAAAAAAAAAAAAAAAAGATTTACTTATTTGAAAGGCAGAGTGACAGAGAGGGAGAGACAGAGAAAGAGGTCTTTCATCTGTTGGTTTACTCCCCAAATGGCCAAAACAGCGGACGAGGCTGGGTCAAAGCCAGGAGCCAGGAGCTTCTTCCAGGTCTTCCATTTGGGTACAGGGGTCTAAGCACTTGGGCCATCTTCCGCTACTTTCCCAGGTGCATTAGCAGGGAGCTGGATCAGAAGTGGAGTAGCTGGGACTCAAACTGGTGCCCATGTGATGCTGGCATCACAGGTAGTGACTTGACCTGCTACACCACTATGCAGACACCCATTTTTTTCTTTAAGAGTGCTCTAAAATAACTTTATCTCACTATTGCATGGGTTGGCTTGGACTGGGCTGAACTGTCCCCTCTTCTGAGTGATTATAGACAGCACAAGTGCTCCTCCGTGTGGCCCGTCTCACGAAGTGGCCCCTCAGCTTCAGTGGCCCCTCTCTTTGTCTTGCAGCTGAGGGCGCTTGCCATCAGTTTTCTACAAGTTAACCTCTATCCCTGTGAAGGATAAGATAGCATA